AGAAGGATGGGCAGCAGCATCTCTCTTAAAATATCTAAAAGCCTATCTGCGGTTGCCGATCTGCCTGACAAACGTGGCAGCTACTTGCAAAACTCCCATTATGAAGAAGGCTAATTTATTTTATTTATTTCTTTAAACTTTAATGCACAATGAAACTATGTAGATATAGTAGATTTAACAGCAGATGGTATTCTCTACCAGTCAACCATTGAGCAAACTAAGAAATAAGTAAGCGCAAACATAAAAAGTATATATATATGTTGTACGCTTTAAAGGGGTGTATTTTGGATGAGCTATCTAAGTACTATATTAATTAAATTATTGTAGTTATATTATTAAATTAATTAATTATATGCATCATTCAAAATACACCCCTTTAAAGCGTACAATATATATATATATATATATATATATATATATATATATATATATATATATATATATACTCAGAGTTATCAGGAACATTAAAGAAAAAGTAAAAAAAAAAGGAATAAAGTTTATAAAATAGAAGCAGTTTATTTAGGGTCGATCTAATGTTCAGTAATGAACAGTTAATGGCAGAAATGAAAAACTATGAACTAACATATTGCATGCTACCACACTGTTAGCTAAACATGAATGTTCTTTACTAATGTACATACTATTGATTGTAAATAACTTTATAAACTTAATGTTTATGTTAATGGGAAGTTAATTACCTACAAGTCACTTAGGTGCTGTTATATTTTAAAATGTTTGAAACATATTTATAAATCCAAGTATTTGTTTTCATGGACGTTGTCTTTACGATTTTACGCATCGTTAAATGAAGTAAGGCTTGTAAATAGCTCCGCGAATAGAACCAATAAATAGGATTACAGTCTTTTCTTCTGTTAAAAAAAATACTTGTATTTCAAAATTTAATAGTTTTAGTGTCCGATTACAAACTTGAATAGGTGCACCGGGAGATGACTTATTGAAATTTTGCTAACTTTGTAATTAAGTTATAGATTTAAAAAAAATAGATTTACATACATTTCCGTTGTTTATTTATTTTAATATATAAATATTAGAAATTATTTAAACCTAGCCCACATGACTTTGTACGGGTGCTCTATTTTCTATCTCACTCAATCACTTTTTAATTTTGGAGACTTTTAAAGCCAAAATTTTACTTACCTTTTTCACTATTCTTCAAATATTTACCCTCATACTTTGTTCTGTTTTATTTATGTTTAATTTTGTTTATTTAATTAGGTAAACACGTGAAGCCGTTTTGAAATTTAAAATTATGCGCTTATATATATTCGGCAACAGAATTTTATTTATATAAACAATAATATCAAAATCCATTTACGATAAGGATAATAGACATCCCTTTGAAATCGAGAAACATTACCCTCTTTTTTTCCGCAGTAAGGTAAAATGCATTTTGGTCCTAATATCAATTAAAACAGGAAATGCGTCACTTATTTCAGTATATTAAGTGATATTTGATTTTAAAGGGGATTTGTATAATATTTATCTACAATCGTAAATAATAAATTTTATCTAATCGTTAAGAGTATTCATAATAAAGTAATTATCTTAATATCATAATTCATCGTCTACGTAACTGTTTTTTGAGGGAGACTGTACAAAAGTCGATTGCTTGAGCAGCAGCGTCCCTCTTAAAACATAACCAAAGGCCTATCTGCAGTTGCCAACGCGCCTGCCAAGCGTGGCAGCTACTGGCGAAACCTTCCAACTATCTGGCAGACTTATGTCTAGCAGTGGCTGAGATGATGATGATGATAATGAATATATGAATATATTAAGCATTACTATGTATTTCTTCAATTCATGAATGCACCGCCTACTTATTTCTCTGTTTGCCTAATGGTTGACTTGTAGAAAACACCGTCCGGTGCTAAGTCCACCAAATGTATATCAAATTTCACTGTGCATTAAAGTTTAAATAAATAAATATATTACCTACGTATCTATACCAACGTAACCCATCCAGGTTATTACAGTAAACGAAGTGTGAAAAACGTATGCAAAAAACATTGAAAACACACCGCTAAAGCACCGTGAATGCTTTCCACTGACGCTCCGACAAATGAAATAAAAAAAAAATATTCGAAAACTTGCGGGCGCCCACTTTTTATCCGCAACCAATAGAAATTCCGGAAGCATCGGTTACACTCGCTCCTAGAATTTATATTGAAAAAAAAAAAAGCAATAAATAAAATACTTTGCGCTTCACGTAATCAATTCGCCCTTTTCGCGGATGAGTGGATTTGAGGATACAATCGGACTTCCCTCGAAAGGGACCAGACCGAGCTTATTATCAATTCTCGGTCATGTTTAATAATGTGGAATAATTTAAAATTATTAATATAAAATATCAATTTCTTGTTGTAACATTTTATATTATTAACCGACTTATCACCAGCTACTTCATACGAATAGATTTCACTGATACAGATGTAATTAAACATGTTACTTCTAGATACGTGATAAAACAATCACTAGATCTCAAATTAAACCTTCAGGAACACAACTGCGAAGACTGCATCCAATTTTGTGCAGTAACTGTTTCTTTTATTTATATAATTTACAATACTTTTACTTGTTATCATTTTTTTACTTTTTATAAATTATATAAATATTTTAATTTTTATGTTTTTTTTTTGTATGTTTTGATTGTTATATTTTTATATGTTATTCGAGCACGTTGTAATACAATTGTACCTCTATGGGTTAAGTACCTAATTATAAAGAAAAAAAATACAATTTTATATTTAGGCATCAGGATGCTAGAAAGCTGGCTGCTTTTTGCACATACTGGCTCCCCTTGTTTATATTAGGTAATTATTGTATAATGTCGGAAAAAACATACTGATAAACAGACAAAATTTCTAAGAAATATAATTTTGATTTATATTACCGTCTAAGACCTCTTATATCTTTTTTTTTTTAATATCTCATAACTATTTACTTACTCCTCTCCTTCTAAAGGTTGTTTGGAAAAAATAGCTTTTAGCATTAAGGTCGCCAATTGTTTTCTCAGTGTGATAATTTCCTGTAATTGTTTGTATCTATAACATATTTACTAATAGATAATATATATTTATCTTTCCTGTACAAACATAGTCTAATTACAATTTTATTATATTAATATTTTATATTGATATTTTTGTTACATACGTTTAATTTTCTTCTAGTAAGGGCCCAATGATATTAAATTTATACAATGACACTTTGGCTCAGAATTAGTGCTTATTTTAAGTCTATTCGGAATTCTAAGTCGGAAGTCCATATCACTGATTATTTGATTATAATTATTTTGTTTAATTCCGTTATCATTAGTATGTGTGTGACTTCCAACACTCGAAGATTGACTACCACTATTACTACCGGAAGTTTCACAACCTTCCATATAAGCCATCAATCTTCTTATCGGTACCTTGAGCTGAGCCTATACTTTTTATGTTTGCGCTTACTTATTTCTTAGTTTGCCCAATGGTTGACTGGTAGAGAATACCATCCGCTGTTAAATTTGCTATATCTACATAGTTTCACTGTGCATTAAAGTTTAAAGAAATAAATAAAATAAATTAGCCTTCTTCATAATGGGAGTTTTGCAAGTAGCTGCCACGTTTGTCAGGCAGATTGGCAACCGCAGATAGGCTTTTAGATATTTTAAGAGAGACGCTGCTGCCCATCCTTCTACCATTACATAAGTTTCTTTAGTCACCTCTTACGATACCCACGGGAAAGGAAGGGGAGGCCTATTCTATGCCGGGATTCTTTTTTAATATATTAGTAGTATTTGGTTATTATGAACATTTCATACACACAATATGCAAACATATACCATTAATGAATCAAATCAAAATGGTGGCGGTAGGCTCGCCCTTAGCTACCATGCATTCTGATATGCTCGGCGAAATGTTATCATATCGGATGTCACTTCAGCACGACAGTAAGAGCCACCAAATGCTTCTGACTATTCTAGTAGAGATTTACAGTCGTGAATATATATAGATAGATAGATAGATAGATACTCTTTATTGTTTCCTCCAAAAGATTACAATAGTAAACTTATTATAGATATAAATAATTACAAGAAATAATCACAATGAGAAAACAATGGGCGGCCTTATCGCTAAGAGCGATGTCTTCTAGGCATTCTTTTATAACAATTAAAAATTATATGAATTCAGAACTAAAATAAAAAAAAGCTATATTTGTCCCACTGAGGTGGCAAACAAGCATACGGCCCACCTAATAGTAAGTGGTTACCGTAGCCTATGAACACCTGCAATACCAGAGGCATTACGCGCGCGTTGCCGACCCTGAAGAAACCTCTTTACCTCCCTTTTGAAGAAGAATAATATGTTTATAAAAATAATATATTTATTTATGTATTTCTATTAGTTTCATATTACCAAGAACTAACAAGCTAAAGTAGCTATAAGCTGGCCTCAAACAAACGATAATTACTAAATTTTTCAGTAGTGACTCTGTATAGACAAATGTTGTATATATATTTTTATATTTTACATAATTGTATATCCATAATATCCTCCATGTGTTGCCATCCCTGAGGACTCAGGTGTTATAGCTCTGTACCCTATAAATTCACTGCCATATCCCGCCCTTCAAACCGAAACACAACCATGCAAACAAAATATCTTCACGGTAAAAACACTAATAGGACAGAGGTGCCCAATCTAACGACTTGTACAAAGTCTCCCTCTGGTAAAGCACCTATCACCTAAAATACCATCAACCTGAGCACTGAGTCCTTCGTTTTTTTTTTATACAACTTAGAATGGCAAACAAGCTGACGGCCTACCTGATGGAAAGTGGTAACCTTCGCCTATAGATATGAGCAATACCATCTACATAACAGAGTATACTGTTTCGCCCATGATACCCCCCATGCGTTGCGATTCCTGAAAACACAGGTGTTATTCCTCTGTACCCTGTAAATTCGTAAATGAGTTTAATTATATGCTAAAAATAAACATATGTTTTTTCTCCAAATTCTTTAATTAGATTACTTATTAAGTACATAAATAATTAATAATATTTATATAAACACAACCAAATGGTATAAGAAATAAATTCATCTAAAAAGATAAGTACTGATAAACAAATGCAGTTAAGACGATCCTCACAGATATTATATATGTGAAAGTCTGTCTGTTACAATTTGGCAACTTAACACTCGATTAATAACCAATTGAAATTTGGTATATACATACTATTTGGGAAGAACATAAATTGGATATAATTTTTCCTTATCAATCACAGGTCATGTGAATGAAGTCACGAGTAAAAGATAGTAGTCAATAAATGCTGTTAAGTAGTTACATGTTTCAACTGAATTTCATTTAAGTAATTCAATGATGTTTTATTTTAAAATTTCAGTAATGGCACTATACTCCCCAAGGATTTGGCGTAGTAATCAGGTTTTATTGTTTCATGATTCAACATGTCTTCCTTCGTGAGGCTAGTCAACACTAAGAGAGTTTTGAATCCTGTCTGTTTGCCTAATCCCACGTCTTGTTCGATCCTGAAAAAGAAAGGAAATGTTTAAATAAGTATTTTAAAAATAGAATGGGGAAAAAGGCAATGTGCTTACGATTCACTTGAAGGTACATTTTAACAACATTTGAACAACGTCCATAATGGAGGCGGAATGGAGATAAATAGATAAAATAAAAAAAAGAAATACATTATAACTCGAAACACATATATAAAATTATCTTATTTAAATACAATTTGAAAAGAAACTTTAATAAACATATAGGGACAAATCTGCATTCGTACCCATTACTGGGTTGATTGAAAAAAGCCTTTTAATTCCCATTATAAAATAAGAAAAAAAAAACTATTACATGGAATTTCATTAATTAACAATTTCTTTCTTAATAATATTATATAAATGTATAAAATTTATTTAGTTCATTACATAAATTCTTCATTTATCATGTTGTCTTATATTATATTTATATATTATTATTTTCCTTTATCTGGATATCCAATTAGGGATATAGGCCTCTTCCAACCTTTTCCATAGGTATACATAATTTTTGGGTATATTGTATAGAAAACGAAGTCCACACCCATCCCACCTACCATAAATCTTGAAAATCTTTAAACGTTAAGTGCCAATGGAAACAAATCTGCAGCGTTCGTTTTGTCTCAATCGTTCTTTTTTTTATAAAAGTTTCAGAGATTTTATTTTTAGTGAATAATGACATTTAGATGTTAAAAAAGATCATTTAAAACAATTTAAACTGAGATATTACTAACTTTACCCAGCGTACATATACGAGGTTTGTCCGGAAAGTACGTATTAAAGTTTTTTAAAAATTTTATTTTACAATTATTCAGGTAAATCAATTTTATCCCCTTCAAAGTACTCCCCCTGTGACATAATGCACTTGTGCCAACGCCGTTTCCACTGTGAGAAGGCTCCTTGAAAGTCCTCTGGTTGTAGGTTTCTCAGCTGCCCCGTCGTAGCTTTTTTTATCTCATTTATGTCCCCCAAATGCCGCCCCCGAAGTACCAATTTGGTTTTTGGGAACAAGAAGAAGTCACACGGGGCCAAATCCGGCGAATAGGGGGGTGTTCGGTCACCGTAATGGAATTTTTACTCAAAAACTCACGGACAACAAGAGAGGTGTGGGCAGGGGCATTGTCGTGGTGAAGAATCCAACGCCCCTCTCGCGCCAATTCTGGACGAACTCGTGCCACACGAGCTTTGAGGCGTCTGAGCACATCGACGTAGAATTTTCCATCAACTGTCTGGCCTGGAGGGACGAATTCTTAATGGACAATCCCCCGAACATCGAAAAAAACAATCAACATTGTCTCGGCCCTCTCTGAATCTTTTTAGCCACTTGTGGACGGTTGGTTCCTTCACAGCATCATCCCCATAAACTGTTCTGAGATCGGCAAAAATTTCACGGCCATTCTTGCCGAGTTTCGAGAGAAACTTGATTACGACGCGCTGCTCTTCAACGGAAGCGGGCTCCATGCCGACGGGGTTTCGTTAAGAGGTAACTTCACAGATGGCGTGACAAGCCAGTTCGCACCGCACGGCGGTCAGACCAGAACTGAAGCATTGTTAGGGACATAAGGAAGGGGTCCTGCGCTTACCTGGCCTCCCCACTCCTCTTTCTCGCATTCCAGAACACTTTTATACGAACTTTCCGGACAGACCTCGTATCATGATTAGCAATTAAGATTGTGTGGGTGTTATCGATCGCCACTAATTGGCTTATAGTTGCCAAAATAATCATTATTTATAGCCAAATTGACTGGTCTGTCACTGAGTTGACACGTGATTAATTACTTTTCAGTTGTAATTCTCTTGTACTGTGCATCATATTCGCAGCTCTAGGGTGGGCTTAAGACCCACGCAGCACTTAAACCTATTTATTGTCCTAGCCTGATTTGGCAAAAATAGAAGATATACGTAGGTGTATTTATCAAGAAGAGATTATGAACAAAAGTTTTCTGCATACCTCTGTCCCAGTCGTGTTTCTACTGCGAAGCAAATGCACTTGTATGACTGTGTTTCGGTTTTTTTTTTTTTTTTTTTTTTTTTTTTTTTTTTTTTTTTTTTTTTTTTTTTTTTTTTTTTTTACAACACAGGTGGCAAACGAGCATGCGGCTCACCTGATGGTAAGTGACTACCGCCGCCCATGATCACCCACAACACCAGCGGCATTGCAGGTGTGCTGCCGGCCTTTTAAAAAGGAATATACTCTTTTCTTGAAGGTTATGTTGTCGTATCGGTTCGGAAACGGTTTTAATTAAAGGGTGGGATATGCGAAATTACAAGATACGGCATAATATCCTAGACTTCAAGTATAACAGTGTATTCTGTGACAAATACAGTATTGTTCATGTTTATAAGCGACAATTACTATTTCCCATAAGATGCGTTAGTATTCATTAGGAGGCTTCATTTTTTTCTTCTTTCGATCCATGTTTGTTCAGTTTCGTTAGTAGGAAAGCTTGCAGACTTGAGAAATAGCATTTTTTTTTTCAAATAATAAAAAACGAACTCGGTAGGTTATGGTAGATATAGCGGTAGATAGGCAGCTTAACATTTGCCAGTTCAGCTCGCAGCATAAAAAAAATAATACACAAAATATGCCAATTGTCTATATTTATATATTAATACCTCAAGCAAAAACACATTATACGATATACAATTTTTTTATACTGACGGAAAGTAGTAACCGTCGCCTATAGACATGAGCAGTACCGTGGACATAACAGAGTATACTGTTTCGCCCATGATACCCCCCATGCGTTGCCATTCCTGAGGATTCAGGGGTTATTCCTCTGTACCCTGTAAATTCACGCCATATCCCACCCTTCAAACCGAAACACAGCCATGCAAACACAACTGCTTCACGGTAGAAACACGAATGGGACAGAGGTACCCAAGCAATCGACTTTTGTACAGTCTTCCTCTGGTGCTTACAATACTAGCTTATACAATATTACTTACATATCACCAATGAAGAGTATTCTGCTCGGATCTGAAAGGCCTGCTCGCTTCATAGCGAACTCCCCAAATATTTTTCCTGGCTTTCCTATCTGTATTGGTATTCGTTTAGTCTCTTCAATGACTAATTCAGTAAATACTCCAGTGGCTAAAACAAAAAATGTACAATGTAGACATTTATAATATTTGTTTCGGTAACATAATGAAGAGCATGCATAGGTTTTACATACCATACCGATATTTTAGAAATTAATCAAAAACTACGATATAAAAAAAAATATAAATATTACTGCTTATAAAAATCCAGGAAAAAATGGTGATTTTGATACAAAATTTGTCTGCTTGAGTACTTTGGGCATTATATATGACTCCTAGACTGATACATTTCTTTTTCTGCGTCAAATATATCTAATAATTTAATCAGAGCAAGTTGGTAGCGATTTAATCAAGTCACAAAATGGCCAACTATATTTTTTTTAGTTTACACTCCAAATTAAAATTAAAACTCAAAATATACATGTGTTTACTAAAAGGCGACAAATACCCGCACATTTCGTTTTTCCGGCGTCGACATCTACCGCATTGACCAATTATTATTCCAATTATTATTTGAGATGAGCGTAATATTTATCCATAATATAAAAAGTTTTCGCTTGTAGTTTTATGACCGGCTGCTGGCCTGACGTCAACCCTCTTTGGATGTGCATTCATTAATGGTTTCCATCACACGACAGGCAGTAGTGTACCTCTTAAAACATCATCAATGCCTAATTGCGGTTGCCAACCCTTTTGTCAGCGTAGCAACTATGGGTACAACCCTCCTTATGGGAAGGGAAAGGGATTGTTAGTAATGGAGACTGAGAATCCTATTGCTAGCAATATACCCAACCAGGTTGACCTCCTCGCGGTTCTCCCTGGAAACTATCATGGTTAATTCCTGATGAATTCATCATGATGGGCTAACTGGCCTGTTTTCATTCTCATCGATCACCCTTCACTGGTGCTCCGCCAGTGTATCCCATTAGCGCAGGCGGGGTTGCCATACCATTTTCACCCATAAAAAAAACCCCTTATGAGGGAGGTCTATGTTCGACAATAGGCAGTTAATGGCTGATATGGTAGGTATATGGAAACATACCTAAACTTAAATGTCCTGGCTTCAAAACGACATGTTTATCACTTGCACCGTTTATGAAGTAAACATCAGGGCGGGCTAAGTAAGAGATCGCTTTGTATATTTTTGGCAAGTTCACTTTGAAGTCACTGTCGAAAACCACAGCACCTATTTCTTCGTCATCCTCCAGGTATTGGACGTAATCTGAATAAAAGTCCGCACCGACATCTGGCTGTAAAAATATATGCATAATTATTATCATAAATTAAAATTCCGCTGCTACTTCTAAAAATTTTAATGAAATTAAAGCTTTTTAATGAAGTTTACCAACTGACAACCCAATCAGAGTTGTTTTATATAGTTTTTTTTTATACAACTTAGAATGGCAAACAAGCTGACAGCCCACCAGATGGAAAGTGGTAACCGTCGCCTATACACCTGAGCAGTACCATGGACATAACAGAGTATACTGTTTCACCCATGATACTCCCCATGCGTTGCCATTCCTGAGGACTCAGATGGTATTCCTCTGTACCCTGTAAATTTACGCCAAATCCCACCCTTCAAACCGAAACACAGCCATGCAAACACAACTGCTTCACGGTTGAAACACGAATGGAACAGAGGTACCCAAGCAAATAGTTTCTTTTTATAGGCAAAACTATTTTGTGTTATAGAAAAAAAGAACTTTCCTTGAGTGCAAGTGTTATCGAAAAGAACAAATTCTTTATTCCTTTACAGCATTATTCTTCTAGAACATCATTTTAGATGCTGACAACACATGTAAGGGTTGCCAACTAACACAACTTGGCAGAAAAATTAAAAAGCTTGTAATTAGTTGAATTTTCACGTTGTTTACACACATTTTATATACACTATCAGAACTTAATGCAATGATGAATTTTCACGTTGTTTACACACATTTTATATACACTATCAGAACTTAATGCAATGAATACTTTTTGCAGGCAAATAATAGTATTTATTTATACTTTTACATAAAATATGTATACAGAGCGGACTTAATGCCTGATAGCATTCTCTACCAGACAACCGACAACAGAGAGAGTACCTAAATGGTGGTGCATGGGGGGAAAAGGATTGTTAGTAATGTGGACTAATGGCCCCATTGCTAACAAGCCCTGTCAGGTCGATCTCCACGCGGTTCCCCCTGGAAACCATTGTGATTAATACTTCTTGCATTCGTCACAATGAGCTAACTGACCTGATGTCATACTTATCTGTCATCCCTCACTGGTTCTCCGCCTGTGTACACCGATAACTCAAGCGGGATCACCATTTCATTATCACCCATTAAAAAAAATGGTGGTGCATTAGTCTAGCAAAATCAATGTGTAAATGAAATAATAAAAGTACCTACATACCTGCTTCTTTATTACAGACGTTTCGAAATATATGTAAACAACATGAAAGATTCAAACTAAGGTTTATTCTATTTAACAAACTCTTAACTTACGTTAATAAACACATTTCAAAACTTACCCCAGATTTACAGCTGAAACCGTAAGACTCCAGAGTTTTTATAGTCTGTGAATTTGTTATACAGTAGATTTTCTTATTAAAGTTTACGGATTTTAAATATTCCGCTATTGCTACTGAAGGTACCGTCAAGTTTTCCTGTAAAAAAAAAGAAAAATTAGTTATTGTCATAAAAGATGGCCGTGTGGTCCCGGCATGGAATAAGCCACCTTTTCCTTTCTTGTAGGTTTCGTAAGAGGCGACTAAGGAAGGCCGATGGACAGCAGCGACTCTCTTAAAACATCTCCAAAACCTAACTGCGGTTGCCAATCCGCATGCTAAGCTTGGTAACTATTGCCAAGATCTCCAAGGGAGAGGCTTATGTTCAGCGGTGGACAGTTAAAGGTTGATATAATGATAAAAATGGTAAAATACAAAAAGTTTGTGGAAAAACTTATTTTTATTTAAAAGCTAAACTACGAAATCGATTTTGTTAAAACTTATACGGGACTATTTTATAAATGTATTCTTTCAGATTTTTTTTTATACAACTTAGAATGGCAAACAAGCTGACGGCTCACCTGATGGAAAGTGCTAACCGTCGCCTATAGACATGAGCAGTACCATGGACATAACAGAGTATACTGTTTCGCCCATGATACCCCCATACGTTGCCATTCCTGAGGACTCAGATGTTATTCCTCTGTACCCTGTAAATTCACGCCATATCCCACCCTTCAAACCGAAACACAGCCATGCAACTTTACGGTAGAAACACGAATAGGACAGAGGTACCCAAGCAATCGACTTTTCTACAAAGTACAAAGTCTCCCTCTAGTTTCCAAATCAGTTTATAGCTGACGGAGTTATAAGGTAACAAACATAAAAAAATACAATCAAATTGAGACTCTCCTCTTTTGAAGTCGATAAACAGCTTTATACGGCCAAGCTGTTCAGATATTGCAGTGAATATATTTCATGTCTACTTTGAGATTATTTTGCAATAAAGTTGTCTGCGTGGGCGAAGACTGTCTCAGTCGTGTTCCTGTTCCTAAGAAGACGTATGTACAGCTTCTTAGGGACTGAAACACGGTCATATGTACATATATATGACTATATTTCAGTTTGCATGACAGTAAAATTACGCGGTTAAAATGCATTGGCAATATATGACGGTACGAAGGGAGTTTTCAATTCAGAAAACTAAGACAATTTCATAATTAACTATTCATATTTCCTTTTTCAACCGACTTCAAAAAGAAGTATGTTCTTAATTCTGTTGTTTTTTTATGTTTGTTACCTCATAACTCCGTCAGTTATAAACTGACTTGGAAGATTCTTTTTTACATGATAGAACATACTTACAAATTAATCCTAAAGAAATTTTATTAAAATAAGTTCAGTAATTTAGTTTTTAAATCAAATTACCGGTTTTAGTACAATTGAAGTCGGTTTTTTTTTTGTAGAACACGATTTTAAATTATTTTATTTTGTAAATTAAACTTTTATTGAAAAAAGCAACAGTCGAATTTCTTGCTTTTTATTCTCAGCTAAGAAAAAAAAATGTCTTGATTAAAAATCTATATACTCTATGGTTTCTATCTAGAAGTGAAAAAAAGTAAAAAATAAATAGATCGTTAATTAAATTACATCTATTAATTTCTCATTGGCCGTGTGGTCCCCGCATAGAACAGGCCATCCCTTCCTATCCCGTGGGTGTTGTAAGAGGCGACTAATAGAAAGCAAGGGATGGACAGCAGCGTCCTTCTTAAAACATCTGCAAAGCCTGACTGCGGTTTTATTTTTTTGGATGAAAATGGTATGGTAACCCCGCCTGCGCTAACGGGATACGCTGGCGGAGCACCAGTGAAGGGTGATAGATGAGAATAAAAACAGGCCAGTTAGCCCATCACGATGAATTCATGATGGGCTAATCATGAATTAACCATGATACTTTCTAAAGAGAACCGTGAGGAGGTCGACCTGGTTGGGTATATTGCTAGCAATGCTCAGTCTCCATTACTTATAATCCCTTTCCCCCCAGCCAATTGCCTGACCAGATTGCGGTTACCAATCCACCTGCCAAGCGTAGCAACTACTGGCAAAACCTCCAAGAGGGAGATTTATGTCCAGCAGTGGACAGTTAAAAGCTGATATAATATAATGATACCATTTTCTCATCCTTTTCTTTGTTCCTCTGCTTAATCTAACAAATTGTTTATAATTTCTTATTTATTAGGTACTATATTTTTCTATTGTACTTTCGTACCGAAACATTTGGCCGTAATAGCCCATCTCTATTTTGTTGTTAAACTGATTACAGGTTATTATTAAGATTATTTATTACGTAATTTCATTTCGTATACAAAAGAACAGAAATAATCTTTATTTGTAAGTACTTAAGCGCTCGTATTTTGTTATATTGCGCCATCTATTTTATGATACAATCGTGGGTTTAAATGAATGTTATCTGTCAAAAATAGAAATAAACCTAAAATAAATAAATTCGTCACTTACTCTTTTTAAATCATAAAATATAATAATATGTTTTATACAAGAGATTAATCGCAGCATTACCATCGTAAAACTCGTCACAAACTAAAGTTCCAACCCACTTTTTCTTTTCTTCTAATTTTTTTTGTTGCTTCACAGAATCAATAAATTGTGAAAGTATCTGTTTAAAATCCAACCTGATTTACCCTGAAACTGTATTAAAATCCATTCGTGCGGAAAAATGACATGATGTTCCTAATTACATTTTTCATAATTATACTAATTTGGTTATTATGTTTTGTACTATACATTACAGTTAAATAGCAAGCAATCCCCAATAATAGATCATTATCTGATACCATAGATTCGGTAGTGGTCTTATACTATATTTTATACTAGCGATCCGCCCCGGTTTTACACGGAAAGATAGAAAGATAACTTAGTATTTTGCATTTGCTTCAATAGAAATTTTTTTGACAATTTGAGTTACTTTATTGTAATTATCGTAAATATATATTTTTTTTAAATAACTTATAGCCTACTTTGTTCGATGATAATGTATTTCTCTATCTAATAATCTCAATATCCTCTACTCACAGGTTGTCTGGGAGAGATTGCTTAGCGATAAAGCCGATTTTGTATCACTTTTTATTAATATTTATTGTGTATCTTATTTTTTTTTTTTTTTGAAGGTGCAATAAAGTGTAAACAAATATATAAATATAGCTTTTTGCAAATGAAAGAATTTTTAAAATCGGTTGACTAATTTTTCCATTACAAAAATAGAAAAAAAAATCAAATATTTCCTTTTTATAAAATTAATATAGATATATGTAACGTTAATACCTTTGTCAATTCTCAACTGTTTTTGTTTTTTTTTTGTTTGGTAAAAAAAAAAGATATATTCCTCCTGTTAGTTCTACATTAATTTTATCACAATTAAAATCAATGTTCATTTTATTTTGTGAAAAAAAATAATTAATTGTGTATTTATTCTTTTGTTGTAGACTCCATACATAGCATAAATAATCTTACGAATTTATAAGTGCTGATGTTCTTATTTGAATTTATGATTTTACATGACTGAGCTGTGTGAGAACACAATGTTAGGTTGAAAGTATCTAATCTGAAAGAGTTCAAGATCAACACTCTGAACCGCATGTTTTATACTACTACGGTGGCATACAAACATCTATGTAGTGATTTATTTACGTTAAGTTGTATTTTTTGAGTTAGTTATTATTTTCGATATCATGATTAACAAATTTAATGGTGGAGCAAAAGAGGTTTGTTTGTATGGAAGCGTTTCGTATTCCATATTTTCTATACTACTACAGTGGCATACAAACATAGTCTATTATATTTTCGATATCATGATTAAATTTGTTAATGGTAGAGCAAAAGAGATTTGTTTGTATGGAAGCGTTTCGTATTCCATATTTTCTATACTACTACAGTGGCATACAAACATAGTCTACTATGTTTTCGATATCATGATTAAATTTGTCAATGGTGGAGCAAAAGAGGTTTGTTTGTATAGAAACGTTTGGAGTTCCATTTTTTCTACCTGCCCAAAGGCAAATAGATGACACAGATATATATGTGTATTATATATACTAAAAACTCCCTCTCTAACCTAGCTAAAGCGATAACCGTTGCCTATAAACATGAACAGCACCATGGATTTTACAAAATACTCTGCTGTAATAGCCAATATTTTTTTTTTATACAACTTAGAATGACAAACAAGCTGACGGCCCACCTGGTGGAAAGTGGTAACCGTCGCCTATAAACATGAGCCATGGACCTAACAGAGTATACTGTTATAAGATCCTTTATAGCTATTTTTCTTAAACGTCTCTCATGAACAGACAATGTCTTATTGCAATTTTATTATATTAGTAAAATAAACTACTATAATTTGCAAAAAAAAAAATGTAATTTTAATAATACATATTTTTCTCTATATAATTACTACTGTCGTAAACAATAATATGAAATTACTATCGACAGACCAATACGTAGGTGGATAATGATTTGTTGTCATACACATGTTTTCCATCTACAAGTATCTAAACAAAATTAATTTTCTTTTAATCTTCGTCATCTATTTACGGAGTTGACTTTCGATTCTATAACTAGTATTTAGCCGCGACTTTGTCCGCGTGATCGGGATATGTTTACTGACCGAGATAAAAAATTATGTATTTGCATGGCTGTATTTCGGTTTGAAGGGTGGGATATGGCGTGAATTTACAAGGTACAGAGGAACAACGTCTGAGTCCTCAGGAATGGCAACGCATGGGGGGTATCATGGGCGAAATAGTATACTCTGTTAAGTACATGTTACTACGCATGGGGGGTATCATGGGCGAAACAGTATACTCTGTTATGTCCATGATACTGCTCATGGTTATAGGCGACGGTTACTACTTTCCATCAGGTGGACCGTCAGCTTGTTTGCCATTCTAAGTTGTTTAAAAAAAAATACAAAAAAAGTTATCAAAATCGGTTTACAATTTGCGCATAATACCTTCACATTAAAAAAGACACAACGGCTTGCATACAAGTAATTCCAGGTGGTTTTCATCACAGTTAACTTATCTGAATAATTTTGCTACTTTGATAAATAATGGTTTTCAAGCTAACAAAATAATACGGATAAGTACAAATCAAGTTTCATCATCATCATTTCAGTCATTATCCGTCCACTGCTGGACATAAGCCTCCCCCATAGACTGCCATAAATCAAGTTTATCTTTAGTTGATCTAAGTAGATAAACTTAGAGTTCGAAATCACGTAACATCGAGTACTGCTAGAATAACAAGTCAATTATAGACAGTTGCAAATACAGAAAGAAATGCAATACGTTTTACATTTGAGTCAATAATTTGCAAGAACAATCAAATTGTCGAATAATGCAAGTATGACGTTATTGCTTTCAGATACAGGTATATTTTTAGCAAGTGGTTACATATATTTATATGCAAATTCAGATTGTAATATTTTAAATACTTAATGTCTTTTTCTTTTTTAATGGATGATAATGGAATGGTAACCCCGCCTGCACTAACGGTATACGCTGGCAGGGCACCAGTGAGGGATAATAGGTGAGGATGAAAAGGCAGGTCATCGTGATGAATACGATTGGAATTCAGCATGATGGTTGCTATGGAGGACCACGTACGATGACAGAATTCCAAGGTCTCCACTTTACATTTACTTACATATCCATCATTAATTCCTGCCGCTTTAAATTTGGCATCGTAATTTTCTTTGCTTCTTATACTGTTGTTAGACACGTAGTGAACGGTTTTTCCGTGTTTCTTCATTAAGTCGAAAAATTCTCCTGACCCTGCCAGTGGCGTATTGTGCCATATTACACCTGTATAAACAAAATTTAAATTAATAAAAAAAAAATACGTAGAATTACTTATTAATTTATAAGTAGAAGCGAAACAGACGACATAGGCATTCAAATTTATATGAAAACTAGCATTTATCTGCGAAATTGTCCGCGCGACATTTTATATGTAGAGCAGCGGTGGCCAACTTGACTAGACCCAAAATCTACTGTTTACTGACGAAACCCTGTGCGATCTACCAATTACAGACTTCTTGAAATCACAAATGAAATAACATAGTTCAGTACATAATAATTTATTTATTTATTTATTTAACACTTTATTGCACCAACATAACATGATTTGTTAAACAATTTTCAATACGTACAGTGTAGTACAAAAGGCGGTCTTATTGCTAAGCAATCTCTTCCAGACAACCTTTGGATAGAAGGAATTAAAGCATGAATAGGTAGGTGGCGCGTATTTATGAATTATTGTGTGTGTAATGTAATGTATTGTATGTAGTATGTATGTAACTATGTAGTATTGCAAGATTTTTTATTTTATTAAGAGGGAAAACATAAAACTGAAAATTATTCTTAGTAACTTATTTGATGAAATGTTGCGTTGGTTTGGTCATTTGGAGAGGATGGATGAAAGAAGAATTACGAAAGAGATTTATCGAGCAAGAATGTATGGAGATGTCGGTAGGGGCCGCCCTAGACGGACGTTTACCAGAGGGAGACTTTGTACAAAAGTCGATTGCATGGGTACCTCTGTCCCATTCGTGTTTCAACCGTGAAGCAGCTGTGTTTGCATGGCTGTGTTTCGGTTTGAAGGGTGGGATATGGCGTGAATTTACTGGGTACAGAGGAATAACACCTGAATCCTCAGGAATGGCAACGCATGGGGGGTAACATGGGCGAAACAGTATACACTGTTATGTCCATGGTACTGCTCATGTCTATAGGCGACGGTTACCACTTTCCATCAGGTGAGCCGTCAGCTTGTTTGCCATTCTAAGTTGTATAAAAAAAAAAAAAAAAAACGTATATTGACCAAATAGGCGACGTGCTGAAGAAGGGCCAAATTAAAAATACCCGTAACGGGCGAGCGTGTATGAAAAGATTGATGAATGTGGAAGAAGCGAAAGAGGTTTGTTTGAATCGAAGCATTTGGCGTTCCATTGTTTCTGCCTACCCTAATGGGAGACAGGACATGACATATATGATGACAGATATGTATGTATGTAACTTATTTAAGTATTGCGTCTGAGCATCTTTCGCTAGATTAGCAAAATATTATATTTTTGCCTTGCCACGATCGACTGGACTTATAATCGCGATCGACCGATTGGCTAGCCCTGCTATATAGTATACCAACTTTCACAGTGATCGGTTAAGCCGTTTAAAGGCCAAGAGGTAAGAAACAAATTCACTTTTATGTTTATAATATTAGTAAGGATTAAGCGTATTATTATTGTACTACTATCACTAATTCCTTTCGCGTCAAATGTCCTCCCTCCAAAACCAGGGAAAGACATAGAACAGTCTCACTTTTGTTACCGATATGAAGCATCCATGCTTGTATGGCAGTTTTTTTAATTTGAAGTGTGAAATATGATGGTAAAATAATAGAGTAGAGAGGCGTGACATTATTTTAAGGAATTGCAACGCGCAAGGATGTCATGAACATTATAGTGAAATCCAACCATTAATAGGTGGCAGTTACTACTTTCTATTACATAAGCCATCAACTCATATGTATAAAACAATAAACGGGCATTTCTAGAGAAGCGTGAATCGAACGTTTGTGCTTAATTTAGTAATTGTGTAATACAAAATAGAGTCAAGGAACTAATTATTTTTTCTTATCATGTAGATTGGTTGTTCAGTTAAAAAATTAGTTTTTTAAAGACTCTTGTTTATGCTATTTTACATACGTTTCTTCGAAAAAACAATCTGTGTTGCTAATCTTGTCAATAGCTTTTGACACAAAATAGAAACACCGAATCGAAGTCTTGTCTAATAAAGACCAAAAATTGATATGCACGGAATATGAATGTGCGACGCCTATACAATCATAATCATTGTGGTAGAGCCACGCTGTAATCCTATATGGTATTGCAGCATGAATGGGCCGGCTCGACCGGGGAAGTACCACACCCTCACAGAATACCGACGCTAAGTGGTTGCACTTTTAGTGCGATCACATTCCGTATGGTGAGTGAGGGAGTCCGGAGGCCCATCCCATACCCATCCCATACCCATCCCTTTCCTATTCCTAAAATCCTTTCCCCAACCCCGTCCCCCCTATCTTACAACACGCAACCATGGCAGTGGAATTAAAAAAAAATAACATACCCCAGGGAGGTACCAGTAACCATGTTGCTGGAGAATCCTCTCTCGAGCAACCACGCTCGGGCTGCCCTGCGTATTCTGGGGGGGGGCAAAATTCCGCTCTTTGGAACCAAAGGCAAACGGAGCAAGATTTCTACGGCATCCCCTTCGCTCAATGTGAGCTTCTGCAATATCAGGGGATTACATTCTAACTTAAACGCTGTTCACCACCACCTAGAAACGGCGCGGCCGGCATTGCTCTTTCTAACGGAGACACAGATATCCTCTCCAAACGAAACTTCATACCTGACGTACCCGGGATATAAACTTGAACATTGTTTTGTTTCGCGTGCCGGTGTATGCGCGTATGTCAGAGAGGATATTTGCTGTCGCCGCCTTGGAATTCTTGAAGGTACGGACCTGTCTATTTTATGGCTGCGCGTAGACTGCAACGACCATCCTCGCGTCTATGCATGCCTATACAGGTCCCACAGCGGTAACATCGAAACCGACCAACTCATTGAGCACGTCCAAATGACTACAGATTCCCTGCTCGAACAGATTCCTTCCGCTGAAGTCGTGATTCTCGGCGATTTTAATGCCCACCATACCGAATGGCTTGGTTCACGTACAACCGACTATGCGGGAAGATCTGTTCATGACTTTGCTTTGGCTTATGGTCTGACGCAGCTTGTTTCCTCGCCTACGCGAATACCTGATGTGTTGGACCATTCACCTTCACTGTTGGACCTTCTGCTGACCACCCACCCAGACAACTATGTGATTTCCATCGAAGCTCCGCTTGGATCGTCGGATCACTGTCTGGTGCGGAGCGAGGTGCCTCTCATGAGTCCGATTCCACCACGTTCCACGGGTAGACGTCGTGTTTGGCACTACAGGTCGGCAGACTGGGATGAGATGCGGATTTTTTTCGCATCTTACCCATGGAGGCAGGTTTGCTTCGCACTGAGGGACCCCGACGCCATCGCCAATTCCATCGCCGATGTGGTGCTTCAGGGAATGGAATTATTTATTCCTAACTCTGTGGTACCTGTCGGTGGGAAATCCCAGCCCTGGTATGGAGCCTCTTGTAGAATAGCATCTCGCCTGAAACAGGAGTGCTTCCTAGCCTGGGCCAAAGGTGTGGCGTCGCGAGATCCTAACATCAGTGCCCTTAAAAAGAAGTATAACTTTGCCTCTAGGTCCTTCAAAAGAGTTTTGGCCACAGCGAAGTCAGAGCATATTGGTAGAATTGGCAAGAGATTGGCTAGTTTACCTTCGGGGTCTCGAGCTTTCTGGTCTCTTGCCAAAGCTGCACAAGGGAATTTCTGTCAGTCATCTTTTCCACCATTGCGCAGGGAGGATAACTCGTTGGCTCTGAACGCCAAAGAGAAGGCCGATCTCCTTGGATCTCTCTTTGCATCAAACTCGACGTTGGATGACGGGGAGAAACCACCGCCGACCATCCCGCGTTGTAAGAGCTCTATGCCGGATGTTAAATTCACGCAAAGATCAGTGCGTAGAGCACTTCTCTCCCTTGAAATCCATAAGTCGAGTGGGCCCGATGGCATTCCTCCAATTGTGCTTAGGACGTGCGCACCAGAGTTGGCTCCGGTTCTTACGCGTCTTTTTCGGCTCTGTTACTCATCAGGTATAGTCCCAAAGTTTTGGAAGACTGCTTTGGTGCATCCGATCCCTAAAAAAGGAGACCGCTCAGATCCAGCTAATTATAGGCCCATAGCTATCACCTCCTTATTCTCGAAAGTCATGGAATCAGTTGTTAACCATCAACTGCTCCGGTACCTAGAGGATCGCCAGCTGATCTCAGATCGCCAGTACGGCTTTCGACGGGGGCGCTCGGCTGGTGATCTTTTAGTTTATTTAACACACCGATGGGCGGTGGCAATCGAGAATAAGGGAGAGGCCTTAGCTGTTAGTCTGGATATTGCGAAAGCCTTTGATCGGGTGTGGCATAGGGCACTAATCTCAAAACTACCTTCGTTTGGGTTGCCTGCGAGATTGTGCAGTTGGGTCGCCAGTTTTCTTAAGGAACGTAGCATTAAGGTCGTAGTCGACGGAGCATGCTCTGACTTAAAACCTGTGAATGCTGGTGTCCCGCAAGGCTGTGTACTATCTCCGACACTGTTTCTTCTGCATATCAATGATATGTTACAGATCAGTGATATTCATTGTTATGCGGATGACAGTACAGGTGATGCATTATACACCGGTCATGCAAAGATCTCGCGGGCACATACCGATGAGCTCCGGAACAGACTTGTGTCTGAAATCGAAACTTCGCTCGATAAAGTTTCGATCTGGGGTGAACGCAATCTTGTTCATTTTAACCCTAAGAAGACACAAGTCTGCGCGTTCACCGCAAAAAAGACACCGTTTGTCGTATCTCCTTACTTTCGGGGCACTTCCCTCGATAATAAGTCGAGTCTGGGGATTCTTGGCGTCAATATATCTAGCGACGTCCAGTTTTGCGGTCATCTGGAGGAAAAAGCTAAGATAGCTTCCAAAAAGTTGGGGGTGCTCAATAGGGTGAGACGGTATTTCACGCCAGAAAACCGCCTGAAACTATATAAGGCTCAAGTGAGGCCACACATGGAATACTGTTCTCACCTGTGGGCAGGAGCGCCACAGTACCAACTCTTTCCGTTAGACCGCATTCAAAGTCGGGCAGCTCGAATTGTTGACGATCGGCGTCTTACTATCCGGCTCGACCCACTGGAACTGCGTAGAGATGTTGCATCTCTGTGCATTTTCTACCGAATTTATCATGGGGAGTGTTCTGAGGAATTGTTCGGATTGATACCTGCTGCAGATTTTCACCATCGTACAACCCGCCATAAACTAAAATTTCATCCCAACCATCTGGACAAGTGGCGGTCCTCCACCGTGCGTTTTTCAAGGCACTTTCTCCCACGCACAACCACTCTTTGGAATCAACTTCCAGCAGCGGTATTTCCGAACCGATACGACAACATAACCTTCAAGAAAAGAGCATATTCCTTTTTAAAAGGCCGGCAGCACACCTGCAATGCCGTAGGTGTTGTGGGTGATCATGGGCGGCGGTAGTCACTTACCATCAGGTGAGCCGCATGCTCGTTTGCCTCCTGTGTTGTAAAAAAAAAAAAAAATATTTGAATGATTGAATGAGTATACTTTATTTGCATTATACAATATAGGAAATAAGCAAGACAATTAACGAAGATATCGCTACAGCTTAATGAGTACAGTAAGGCGGTCTTATTTCTGAGAGCAATCTTTTCAAGACAACTTTAGGGTAATGGACTAATTGTTGTACAATTTATATATTTATTTTCATTGTTATTATTGTATAATTATATATTTGTATTCATTAACTGTCCGCTACAATGATGGATTATGTTTCAATGTAATCAACCGTAGTACGTGACAACGGTCGCCTTATTCGGATAACTAATTCCGTTCATCGATAATGCCCGATACATACTGAAGAGATGTCAAATTAAAAATACTACAGTCAGGATCTGCCTCGAAAGCTAACAGCGTTACATCAGTCTACAGGTGACCAAGGCTCGTGTTACCTGGTCGAAAAGTCGAGATAATTCAAATAACTTATTATAGTTTACTCTTCATTTAATTTAATTCCCGTCTTTATTTCTTCTTATTTAAGAGTTTCCTCTTCCCGGAGCAACTAATTCATTCATGCTTTCCCAGGCATACATTACAGGCCATATATTTGACCTTCCTATACGACATAACACCTAGTGATAATTTTATCTGTCCCATGTAGTTATTTCTTGATCTTTCCTTCCTCTTTTGCCCTCTGTTTTTCCTTCTAGTATGCTTTTTGTAAAATCGACATGTCATTTAAGGTGGCCTAGCGTTTTGTCACTTATATCCTTTATTGTTTTTATATCCCGTCTATAAAATATATGCGTTGATGTTATAGTTTGTAAGGAGAGATATGTAATGTAAATCTGAGATATTGAACATAACTTTTGTACTCAATACGTCTAATTTCACTTTCATACAACTTTCAACAAGCGCCAAATAATAAGATCATATTTTATTTAAATTTATAATGAAAGCCATCTTCATAATATCCATTAATCATTACCTCGACTTCATTAATTATCACTTCAATATTAATTTGAGTCTTTTCATTGTGAGCGCTACGCATATAAATAAAAATTATTAAGTCCGTTTCCTACGCGAGCAATATAAAATTACTCGATTAATCACAATATTCTTGTTAACAATAAAATTATGAGGAAGTACTTTATGATAAGAACTTTATAGGATGTATATCAACATTATTAGCATGTTAATTAGTTTTGTTGGCTCTGCAGTCGTGGTAGACACGTCAAAAGTTTTAATTGCACACAAATTATAAAATCGTTCTATAGGCAATTTCATATTTTATTTCTATAGTATAAGATCCAAAAATAATTTGGTACTATATTTGTATCTGTACACATTTAATAACTATCAAGTATAACAGATTTAAAAATTAAGAATGATTATATCAGAGGAAGTATGAGTGATAGAAAAGTTAAAGATGCGCAGGGATAAGGAGCATGTCTTAAAAAAGTATCAAGAATAAATATAGATAGCTATAAGGGCAGAGGAAGACCCAAAAAGACATGGATGGATTGTGTGAAAGTTGATACGGCCAGAATGGGAGTGAATGCGGAAATGAGTACGAATAAAGAAGAATAGAAGAGAAAACATATTACGCCGACTCCAAATTATAATTGGGATAGGGATAGGAAAATTATGAAGTATAACGGATTTAATTTCAGTTATCGGGTTAGAATTTTAGCATTATCTTTTTAGTTATTTAAATTATTATAGTTATTGATAACATTGCTAAATATATTGCAGTCACCAATCGAGCAAAGCTCGCCTTGCCATAATTTAAGTATTACTGACACCAACACTCATGTATGGAAGCGAATCGTGGGTATGGCAGAAGAAGCATGAAAGTAAGATAAATGCTGTACAGATGAGAGCTTTGAGAAGTATAGGTGGTATTACTTTAAAAGATAGAGTAAGAAACAGTGTGATTAGAGAGAAGTGTGGACTGAAAGACGATGTAGTGACAAAAATCGAAAAAGGAATGTTGCGTTGGTTTGGTCATTTGGAGAGGATGGATGAAAGAAGAATTACGAAAGAGATTTATCGAGCAAGAATGAATGGAGATGTCGGTAGGGGCTGCCCTAGATGGACGTATGTCGACCAAATCGGCGACGTGCTGAAGAAGGGCCAAATTAAAAGTACCCGTAACCGGCGAGCGTGTATGAAAAGATTGATGAATGTGGAGGAAGCGAATGAGGTTTGTTTAAATCGAAGCATTTGGCGTTCCATTGTTTCTGCCTACCCTAATGGGAGACAGGCGTGACAGATATGTATGTATGTATGTATTGCAGTCACCAATCATTGACTTTCCTCTCGTGTACCGTATGTCAATAAGATTTTATCCACTAATAGAGTATGCTCTTATTTTAAATACACTATTGGGAATTGAAGCTTTTGTAGGTAAACAGTAGCTACATACCTGCTTCTTTATTGGAATATGCACTCCAAGAATTGGCAGCCCGTCACCCATATCAAATAGCGAAATTAAGATGTCATACATTGTCGTACCCGAAACTCAAAAAGAAAAACTATTTGTGTATTGTTGAAATACCAACTTATCAAATCATAATTCATGATTTTAAATTTTTCTTTTTATCATTGTCTTCATTAATTACGTCTTTAACGGAAAGTCTTTGATCCCATTCCAGCCATCTACAAATACTTCAATAAAGTAACGGTGGAGTGTTCATAGATAATTGGATACCTAGTTACTACATTTTCAAGTGATTGAAGCATTTTTGTTATTTAGCTCTCGAGGTAGTTAGTTAGCTGTAAACGTGCTCATCAAAAAGGACTTCTACTGAGTAAAGCTGACACATATAATTACAAAACAGTATATCAAAATAGTAATCCACCTGTCGATTATTTTCGGTGAATTTTGAATTAGATTAGATACACTTTAGATAAACACATAAACAGACAAAGCAAAAAGGATTCTTACTGTCTCTCAGATAAGATTAATAATTGTAAGAAAACCCGAAACTTTAAAATTTTATGTAACCTTATAAAACTGTTAACAATAAGATTAATAACGATTCCAATTATCGTAAATTGACTTCAGAATAAACAAGCTGATGTGGCAATGGGCTAGTCATATAGCTCGAAGAACCAACAACCAATAAGAAGAATGATTATTGAGTGGCGATCCCGTATGGACAAACACAACTTAGGAAGATCACCACTAGATGGAGTGACGACCTCAAATGCATTGCAGGTAATCAGTGGATTCAGAGAGCTCAAGACTGTTAAGTGGTTAGATAACTGCTGGTAAGATGATGATTTTAAATTGATGACACTCAAGCTCTAATCTACGACTAATTTTAAGCCAGTTTAATGAAGCATTAGAGCAAAACGCTCTCTCATTAATTTTTATTTTTGGCGTCTTAATAGCTTATCCGATCATTATGAAATTCTGCGTATATCTAGTAGGTACTTGGTATGAAGATTTACATAGATTACTTTTCATATCAACCACACAGATAAAAATCAAAGGAAGCATATTCAGATAGAAAAAACAAAATATTCCGAGGGCCTACCATAAAATCTTTTCTGAAATACCAGTGCAGAACGAAACACAAATTTGATGTTAAAATTACATATCGGTTAAAAATAATAAAATATCTTTCCATTGGACTTTTATGGCAGGATATATGACGAACAAAACACGAAATTGAATCCGACAATCCGGAACTTCATGTCATGGCCGCCTGATCTCTATCTTCACCAAAAAGACAAAATATTAAACAAAACTAAAACAAGTAGGATGATATATAATATTTTATTTTATTAGTCTCACAAATTTAATAAAATTATAACTAGATAATGCCTGTAGACAGAAGATATTTAAGACAAATTGATATAAGGGATTTTAATAAGAGGAATATCTAGAAGCTCGTAACAATTATTAGAATTTTGCCTGTCTGTCTATACATTTATTGTGACGTTACGCAATACTATTGTATCAAATTGAATACGATTTTCAAACTTGTATTTCTCAAGGCCTAATTTAAAATCCGGTGTATGTTTTGTCTTAATACCTATGCCGTCTAGATGTGGTTACTTTAAAATCAACACATACGAAGATGCGTGCATAAGTTAGTTTAAAAAAAAAAAAACTATCACTCAATAATTTAGTCTGTTAATACTCTAAATACCTATTTATTTATTATAGAAGTAACATTCAGATAAATATATACACATATCAATGCAATACACGAACAAATACCCATTCACAATAACATAAACTCTTGTTTCAAGCAATATCCAATATAAAAAATTATAAATAAGTACAAATAATAATAAGCAACAAATTGGTGTTTTGCAATTAAGTAATACTATACAGATAATTACACTATGTATTTAACAAATTCAACAATACACGCTATGTTGAATACCCATATCATATCAGCTGTTACATCACTGGTTCAAGATCGAGTCGCGCGGCGCTAGTGTCAACTCACCGTCACAATCTGAGAAAACGTGATCGAACGAATCCAAAAACGCTCTGATCCCTTCTTTGTTCAAATCCAAAATGTTTACTGGACTATTCACCATTTTAATATATCACAGTCACAATGAAAATCGATCGGCACCACGTGTGTTCATAACCTAGTTAGACGGGGCACTGCGCTCGCGACTATCCGTACGTCACTATAAAGTTGCGTGGTGGGAGCGCGTTTCCATTGATTCATTGGATGACGCATCGAAAATTATTATTTTCATGTAATTACACGTATTGCTTTTATATTTTGCAATATTGATATTAATCAATACAAAAGTATTGTGGCAAAATATACTTATTAATAATACTAATTACAACTGCCGACTTTGCTCGTGTAAATTAAGATATGTATATTAATGTATGTACATCATAAACATATGCACCACAATTTATCTTTGTATCAAATATCATTCATATTATATTTTAGTCTAGTTTTTTAACGTTTAAGCTTGATAAATACTTAAATCTTAAAAAAATACATAGTAAAGAGAAGATAAACGAGCACTTACTTTTTATTGAAAAAAAGCACCCGATATTTTACGAAGAAGTATATTAATAGGATTCAATGGATATGTGTAATTTATAAGGGAAGAGGAGAGCGTATAAGTTTATGGACCTTGAATTTTTTGCACTACATTTTATTAATACATTTATAAACATGTAGGATGTAGGTAGTTATATCTTTTTTTATATAAGAATTACTTGATAAGATAATATTACAATTAAGTTAATAGATTATTTAATAGTGCTTAAGGATAAAACTCCAGACAGAAAATTAATGTTTGTTTTACTATAATACATTATTTTTCTCTTTCTTATTATTGTTATATAAAATTAAACAATATAGAGCTAAATAAAATAAAACATTTCGATATCTCTATATCTTTTGAGACATTTATATGATTTTATGAGATATATATATATATATATATATATATATATATATATATATATATATATATATATGCGTAAAATATATATCTCTATAATGTAGATAGATAGATAGATACTCTTTATTGTTTCCTCCAAAAGATTACAATAGTAAACTTATTATAAATATAGATAATTACAAGAAATAATCACAATGAGAAAACAATGGGCGACCTTATCGCTAAGAGCGATCTCTTCCAGGCAACCTTTCGATAGGGAGGAGTAATTATAAACAATTATTCCATTGTAATGATTAAACGAAGTTTATAAACTTTATGAAAACAGTATGTAATATATTGTACGGTACTTGTATTGAGTCTGAATACTTAAAATTATAATAATAATATGGTAATAATATAATAGTTGTATTATTGATATTATAATGGGAGGAGTTGAGGAGGGAGGGAGAGGAAGGCTTATATCCAGCAGTGGACGGATAGTGGCCGAAATGATGGTGATAATGATGATTGATATTTGTCGAATACCATTAAAATAATCTATGTTTATTCAATTTCCAAATAGAGAACAATATAACATAATATTTATGCTATTACATAATTTTTTGACACTAACCTTATCACGTCGGCAGCCCTGATAATGTATTTGAAGATTTATGGATTACCAGAAGTAGTCGGTCCCATAGGAGCTTTTATGATGGCGTTACTAGAAATTTATACTAAGGTTTTTGTAAGCTATTTTTAGTAGCTTGTAGGCCTCCTTTATGCTATAAGTTTTACTTATATCTTATATACTCAAGTACATTCATTAAAATTAATAATGGTGTGCATTAACTAATAAAATTTGTGTTTATAACTTTTATTTGACGACATATCAGCAATAAATAATATTTATAGACATTTCATTCAGTTAATTTAAGATATTACTAAATATTATTCTTGATGTAAGTAAACACTAAACACTTATCAACTTCCTATTTTGAATCTGATGTAAAGTAATGCATATATTTATATAGGTAAAGACCCTTGCTCAGAATATTTATAAATGCATTAATAATATAGTTTACAAGTGCAATTAGGAAATAGAAAGATTCAGTATGGTATTTTTGCCAACTCATTTGGGTTTATAAATCATGAGCGCATAAATGGAAATGTAGAATAATCTTATCTGTTTGCGCAAATATGATACCAGTGTTTGAATTAGTTTAACACACAAGTAGAGATACATTATTTTATGTTGTAGATAAAATTTAAATATTCAAGTATATTTGTAATTCTATCATGTGCCACTTTTGACGTCAATATATTAATGCAAATAGGTAAGTTTTAAAAACTCAAACAAAAGTTTTTTTTTTTTTTTAAGGCAAACATATGGCACGTACTTCTTAAAGATAAATTCTTCATATTTTCTTCGAACATTGGTCTACGTGATAAGGATACAGATAAAAAAATGGCAACATTGTCTTCAATATTAATCAATACTTACATTATTTTATTTATGGTCAGATTCAAAGATTCTTAATTTTTTTTCCGGTAGTAATATTTGGTTAATACATCATAAAAATATATTATTACATCATTTAATTATTATCAAAAAAGAGTAAATACAATAATTTTGATATTATTTTATAACTCTGACTATAAACTGATATGAACACTTTGGCAGTTAACGACTTATTTACGCAGTTGTGTTTTATTTTAAGCATATTTTTTTTCAATATATACTAATTATCTCTTTTTTAATGATTGTATTTATACTTATATTCATACTGTTTGTATTATGTGTTGTATCCATACTGAATTTTCTAAATAGTCAAAATCATTTAACTAGAGCAAACGATAAAAAGCACACTCCGTATTAGTTATGCAATAGCTGATATATCCGTGACGTCATGCACAAGATGAAGTTTAATATTTTTCCTTGGTACTAATTCCCATATTACTTACTTTAAAAAATATTTAATAAGAATCATCTATTTTTACTCAACACCTAACTTGTAAGTCACAGATACGTTAAATTTCACCAAATATATTATTTCTTTCAAGAAAAGGTTGAAGTTTCACTTTTTAACTAGTAATATATGTATTAATGCTTAATATGTGTATATATATTATTATTTATTATGTTTTTTTGCATAAATTTGTAATTATTTACAAATAGTATATTTTACTATTATTCTGTTTATTTCCGCTAAGCTCTTTTTTCTTGAATCTTTTCGGCATTAGATTACCCGCTAATCATTTTTTCTGTTACTGCACTGGGTTAGTTGGAAGAGATTTCTTTCAAAGATAAACTCACCCTTGCTAACAACTTGCTAAAGTAACTGCTGTACCTTTTTTTACAAGTGCAATAAAGAATATATATACATATATTTAGTGATAAAAACTAAAGCCTCCTACAAACATACTTAAACTATTGGCGTATTTTGTCATTGTTTTTTTAACATGAGAATTTAGCGCAATAGAAAAAAAGCACTTCAATTCCTAAAATAGATTTATGTAAATTTTGACATTTTTATTAATAAGGGGGACAGTACAGATAAAGTTTATGCTTATAGCTTCATCCGTAAAAGTAAAACTAAATAACGGAGAACCCTGCGTTCTATACGATTACATACAGCCGGGAGGACAGACTTATCTTTTGACTTTTTCAATTGATTGAAAAAGTCAAAAGATAAGTCTGTAGTATAGTAAATATCTGAAATCTATATGGAAATATCGATATTGCGGGTATTTTCTTTTAACGGTGTGTTAGTTGACAGACTGACATCTATTTTAAAAATATCTAATTCGAGTTCTATTGCTTATTCCTTAGCCTATTTAGCTAATATGCTTTACAAGAAAAAAATCAATGCATATATTTTTAATCTATATAATTTCATCTTAGCATACAATTACGTGTAGGTATATAGAGTTACGCATTGTTTAGCGCAATGGAAACAGACCCAACGCCTGTTATCGATTTGACGCAGCGCGCGTCGCCGTGGTGACGACCTTGTTTTTAATTTCAACCCGCCAATTTGTTCTAACATTGACATTTTGAAGGGAAGTGACTAGGAAATTGATTTGTTTCACCGTAATCGATGGAGTGACCACTAATTATTGTAATCGATTTGTCTTACCATGATCGATTGCAGTGATTAGTGTAATTTGGCGGATGAAAGGCGATTGTTTTCGCTCCTCGATTCCGTGATCGATTAGTTCCAGTAATCAGACGTAGTGCTGTGTTCTATTTTTAAATTGATTTCTGTAATTATGTAAAATAAAATAGAGCATCCTATATTTCGCCCTATGGCTGGGTAAATGGCATACATTAATTCTCTTTTCGTAGGTACGGTAAGTCTAGACAGCTTGAGGGAAAATGAGGGAAATTGATCAGTGATAACCTAAAAAATTTACTTTTAGAAGTATAAAAAAGATGACTTAACAGAAATTTAGCTAGAAGCTGTTATTGTAACTATTACGTGACTTTGCGAACCAAATATATTAATAAATAAATAATTATGTTTAATGTATAAATTTATTAATACATTTTTAAATATTTTATGACGATTAAATATATATATATATATATATATATATATATATATATATATATATATATATATATATATATATATATATATATATATATATATATATATATATATATATATACCTTTAAATTATATAAGAAGAAGTTTAACAAGTATTCAAAGTAAAACTTAATTATAAGCATTCTTGAATAATTATTTTTTTATGATTCTACGGTCCATTTTGACATGCAATTTTATCTAATAAAAACGATCAATTTGAAAAAAAAATAAAAAAAAATGTTTAAATGATATTCTTATACACATTATTTATATATATAATTATTCAATAGAACTAACTGTAAAATTATCTTAGGAAGCCATTGTATTTTAGCATTTTCAACCGACTTCAAAATTAAGGAGATTCTTAATTCCGTTGTATGTTTGTTATCCCCATAACTCCGTCAGTTATAAACCGATTTAGAAAATTCTTTTTTTTTTATCTAAAAGATACTATTTATAGATTAGTCTCATAGAAGTATTATCAAAATCGGTTCAGTAATTTAGATTTTAAATCGAAATAACTGGTTTTGCCACAATTGTCACAAGTGGAACACAATCTTAGTTAATAACTAATCTTTCGTCTCATTCTTACTTATGTATTAATATTGTTTACTTCAAAAGAAATCATTACGAACTAGAAAATACATATACTTTTGATATTTCTTGTAATTGTTT